GGGCTGGGGGTGCCCTGCAGGGCTGCGGGCACCTCTTGGGGCTCCTTGCAGCGTGTCTGGGGGTGCCGTGTGGTGTGGAGGTGCTCAGCTCCGTGGGGTGCAGCCATTTAGGGGGCGGAGGGGGAGCAGGGCGGCATGGCTGGGCAGGAGCTGCAGGCACGGGGGGGTCTGGGGCAAACACCCTCCCTGTGGGGAGAAGCCAGGCTGGGGGGAGCAGGCCATGCTGCAAAGGTGGGTCTGGGGGTGACTGGGGCTGCAGAGGGACAGGGGGACTGATGCTGTGGGGATGCAGCTGGTGTGGCTGTGGTGTCTGAGAATTGCCACGTGGGCAGGGGTGTGTGGCAAGGCTGGAGGGGGGGTCTGTCAGCCCTGGGCCTCCCTTGTGTCAGGCTGGGATGGGTTGTGAGCGGTGCTTTTGGAAAGAAAGGATTCAACAGGTGTGATGGGAAGTGGTGGTGGGTTTTGCTGAGCATCTCACTGTTCCGGAAGGTTTGGTTCATGTAGCCCCTGCTCAGCTGGGGAGAGCTGTCAGGGTCAGCAGGAGGTTGCATCTTGCTCTTGACTTGTGGTGTGGGGTTGTCACTCTAAGGGACAAGTGGCTGTCACCCCACCCTCAGCCTTCCCAGGCACTTTGCTCACCACGATGCAGTTGTGCCTGTGCATGGAGCAAGGGGAGGAAAGCACATGAAAGTGGCTGAGGAGTTGGCTTTAAAGTGGGAACTGAATGTGGCTGTTGCTGTCTTTGATCTTTGTAGTGATGAGGAAATGATGTGGTGGGGTTTTGCTTCTCTTTGAAATATTAATTTTCTGGATGAGACAAGTTTTGCAGCTTCATGTTGGTTGTGGGGGAGCTGAGTGCTCACTCCCTGCTGCTGTGCAGCCTTTCATCCAGGCACAGAGAAGGCAAGTCACGATGAATGCATTGCCCTGGCTCTGCAAAGCAGAAAGCAGCTGAACCTGCTTGGGGGAAAAATAATAATAACAATCACAAGGAGTGATCAGGTAGACAGGCCTGATGTAACCTTGTTGTTTTATCTGGAGGATGTTGGGCCATCTCTGGGGAGGGGTATCCATGCCTGACCCAACCCTGGCACCCCCCTGCCTGCTCTCCTTGCCCACTACCAGCCCGTGGTGCTTGGTGCAACCTCCCAGGTCTCTCCCCTGCCCCGGGGGCCTCTCACCAATGACAAACAGCTTCTAACGCCTCCCTTGTGTAAACTAACGCTGCTCCCTGCCCGCCCACACGCCCTGCCCGTGCCCGGCCCGTTCAGGGCACGATTACGTGGCCCAGCTGCGAAGGAGGAAGCTGGGCAGGAGT